TTTTAAGGCTTTTAATGCTCACAGAGCCTGGCAACTATTGCTCAGTCCTCTGAGCCTCCAAGAAACGAGAAACCCTCTCAGCCTCTCCCTGTCTTTCAAAACCCCCTGCAGCCCTTTCCTCCACTGCTTCCTGCTCCCAGTGCCCCATTGCCCAATGCAGCCATGCCCTTCTCTTTTTCCTGGGAGGAAAAATGTGAAAAATGTCSCTGGCATCAACTTTTTGTCCTTTGGGGGAGAGGCAGAGCAGAKGAGACCTGCTGCAAGGTGCTGCGTGGCGGTTACCCACCCTGACCTATTTGTTGTAGCTCTTTGAGATATCTGCTGTGGCAGCTGTGACCAAAGCCAGTGACTTTCTGCCTTTTTATACCTAAAATGTGCTCTGACACTGCAGGGTCAGTCCCAGTTACTGTGCAAAAGAGAGGGCATTTCGGTCAGAAGGCAAAACTCCCGTTTGAGTTGTACACCAGATTTTGTTTGTAAATTACAGGAGGTCTGTTTTTATGCAGATTTTATAAAATGTTGCTGGCCACTGCTGGTAAAGCTAAATAAATTAGGATATTATTTAATTTTGTGGGAGAATAATCTTTACTCCAGTTCTGCTTATGATTCTTATCCTCTCCTCTCTATTTCTGATGGTAATATGCAGATCCAGGCTGAACAATTTGCTCCCTAAACACTTCTATTTTAAAACGCAGTATGAGTTGCTGAGCAAAATAAGATTTTTTTTCCCTTTTTTTGCGGAATGTGAAACAGGTTTGACAACGCAGGTGTCTCAGCGAGAGGTTTGCCCAGTGACTAGCACACCACTTTAACACCTCATTAATTTCCACAGCCTTGGGAAGACGTTTGCATTGCAGGGTGAAATACTGACAACTAGAATTACTGACAGCCCTGGTTTTCTGTTCGTGCGGACTTCGGCTTCGTGCCTGGCTACACCGGCTAGAGAGAGGGAGAGGATGTGTAGTTCGGAGCCTGGGAATCAAGTCGGTGCTTCCATAGGGACTTCGGTGTGAGCGCCCGCAGGAGAGGAGTGCTGCCTATTGCAGACTGCAGACGCTGTAATAACGGGGAGCAAGGAARTGCTTAAGCTAAATGGGCTTGTAAATGAGGCAGGAGCTGCAGAGTGGCAGGGAGTATGCAAAAACCTGCTGTGTGCACGCCCCGTGCAGGGCAATGGCATGGTTTATAAAGGATGGACTGGTGGCTTAGCAGCTAGGGAGCTGGTCTCAGAAAGCCCAGGGCTTGTTTCACCTGTTGCAAAGATGAAGATCTCGTTGACCTCGAATGGAAATCCTATGGCATAAAGTGAAATTCTGGAAGGGCTTGGGGGAAAACAGTGGAAACTCAGAAGCTTAGAGCACTTCTGCTTTGGYGCTGGGATGCTAAATGGTCAGAGGGCCTGGTTTCTTGCTGCTGGTTAGTTTGAGTACAGGACACCTGCCAAAGTTCACAATTCAGGATATATTTGTGGTATGGTGAGAGGCTGATACGTTGACAAGGGTGCCTGCTCTCGTAGCCCTGCTGCAGCTCCTGATGAGGTGAGGTAGGATGGTGTAAAAGTTACTCGTCTGGATGCTCGGGAGGTGTTTCTGCTTCTGCACCAGGATGCAGCCCTGGTTCTTGAGAAGGTTCTGGAGGAGAGCGCTAAGGTGAGGCCGGACACTTGGTACCCCCTCCCGTTGGCTCCCGCCTCCCCGAAATCCCGGCAGAGACACTTCTCCGACACGGAGCCCATCTCCGACACGGAGCGTTAAGGAGGGTACCGGGGTTCTGGCTCCTCCGAAGCAGCCTCTGTAACGAGGGGAGAGGGGCTGCTTGCCGGGGAGATGYGATGCAGAAAGGGGAGGCTGGCGGGCGAGGGTGGCCTCCGCTGCCCTCGAGGAGGCTCGTGGACCTCAGAGCCCGGGGACAGTTTCCTGCCCTGCAATAGGAACTTCTTCCCTGTGAGGGTGCCAGAGCCCTGGAACGGGCTGCCCAGGGAGGCTGTGGAGTCTCCTTCTCTGGAGGTCTTCCAAACCCGCCTGGATGCCGCCCTGTGCCCCGTGCTCTGGGTGTGCCTGCCGGAGCGGGAAGGTTGGACTAGGTGATCTCGAGAGGTCCCTTCCAACCTTGAATACTCTGTGATTCTGTGAATAGGCAAGGGGGAAATCAAGGCCTCCTCAAGGCAGGAGGAGGCTCCACGCTCAGTGCACTGGATTTTAGCCCAGCTTCTCGAGAAGTTGCTGTGATTCCTCTGGACACAGGGGTAGTTTTAACGTGTRTTTCTGTCTCTCTCTAGCCCAGAGGGGCTTTAGAAAGAGATGTGTTTAGAAGGCAGACCTGCACGCATAGGCAGGGAGATGGGCTCGTGCAAAAGGACGTCTCCTGCTCTGTGCTTATAGAAATATGTTTTACTTGCGAGAAGCATAATGCACATTATATAGATTGTAGGTTGTTTTTTATGTTCCAGTTGCTGAGTGTCTCAGGATATTTGTCTCTTTGCAAGCGTGCCGTAGCAGCGTCGTCCAGCAGAGAGCAAATATTTTGTTGATAAAATGCTGAATGCGCAGTAAGAGAATCTGCAGAACTGGGTCACCAGAAGGTTCTTCTCATCTTTAAGCCCCTGAACAATTCTTGTCCTGAACTGTGCTCCTATCTCCTTCCTTGACAGGTTGTTTGTAACCCTTTGGGGGACTGAAAAATGTTATGAAGCCGCTCTGTAAGTGTGTTCATACAGTCTGGAAGGGTGTTCATGATGTGGACTGACATGTAAAAATTCTGCTCAGTGGCAGCATCATGACTTGAAGGTCAGATCTGTGCACGCTTAGATTCTTTCTACATGTAGTGATAGGTTTTCAGAGTGTTTTTACCAATTATGTTCTGTCTTTAAGAAAAATTTAGCTACTTTTTGTCTCTTAGTTTACTGAAGCAGACTGCTTCAGACTGCCATTCTAAGCACGTACATGATACTGTCATTAAAAGTAGTTAAATTGAGAATATTAGCGGCACTTCTAAGACATTTTTGTGTAGCTCGGTGCTTTTCCGCCTGTGGTTCTGCAGATTTTCAACAGCTCAGAGACTAAGGAAAGCAAGCCGGTTGTCAGGAGGCTTTAATTCTCCATATAATAATGTTCCACTTGAAAATGTTAGGGTATATGAATCACAATAAATATATAACAAAACATTATTAATTATAAAAACAATATATGTGTTGTTATACATCTTGTGTGATTGTAATAATATAGATGAGGTATGATAATAATTAGATATGATATTAGATATAATAATATAATGATAATATAGAGTTATTATTCATGCAATAATATTATTATTCTAATCTGTATTAGCGTTAAGGTAAGTATTTGTGCCATAGCTGTTTACCTGTAGCTGTTACTTGAAGCTGATGATCTTTACAGCTCAGAAAGCTTTGAGTCTCAGATCCTTGGGTGGCGTTAGTCAGCACAGCCCTTTTGATTTAGATTGACTCTGTCACTGGGGTGTGTCTGGCTCATAATGCTGTATTTGAAATGATTATTGCAGTGATTAAATGATTATTGGAATGATTTGCCTTACCACGTTTGACTAGTTTTTCGACTAAAGCTATACTGAAGGATGCTGCTTATCATATGGTAACTGACAGATGTGATACTTGATCTCTCTTTCAGACTAATGGACACATATCTGCTAATGGAGACGTGTATCAAGAAAGGCTGGCACGTTTGGAAAATGATAAGGAATCTCTTGTTCTGCAAGTGAGTCCTCACTTAAATTATTTTCTTCCATGCTTGCATTAATAAGACTTTTTGTGTTGTGTGATGAAACCTCTGAGGATTTATTTGCAGCTGTGCTGTCGCACAAAGTGATTGGAAGTGTTGCAGAAACCTGGGGGTTAACCCACATTGCAGATTGGGGTGGATTTCAGATTGGAGTTGAGTAGCCTTCCTCTGTGCCTGATCTTTCTGAGCCTTGCTGACTGAGCTGGCCYGCAATGTCATCGTCTTTCTTTCCTATATATCCTTAAGAACATCTTCTTCCTTGRCTGTTCATGTGCTGTCCACATGAGGTGACATATGCCCTGTCCTGACACCCACCAGAGTCCCCCCTTGCCACTGCCACCAGGCTCTGGAGGGGACAAGGACTATGAAAGCTGTGGGGCCAGCTCGTTTACCCTYGCTCCCAGAGTGGTGCTCGCTCCCTCCAAAGAGCCTGTTTAAAACAAACAAAATGTTATTCAGGAAGGGCTGATGGGAATCAATCTGCAGTCCCAGAGGTGTTTTCCTGGTCGTTCTTGCCTGGCCTCGGTTGGTTTGCATTAACTTCCTTTGGTTTTATCTGTTGGGAAGGGAGAAGCTCTACAGTGCTATGCACTGTAAGTAATCACTCAGAAAGAATAACTGGTACTGGGTGAGGTTTCACTGTTCTGTTTTAAGGTAGAAACTAGTAGTCTTTAGTCAATGCACTGTTACAGCATCTTTAATTTTCATGTGTTAGAAAATACTGACATAGCAGGGTTCTGGTGAGGAGTCAGTAGCAGCTCTGTTGCTTACAAGTTAGCTGTAAAATACAACAGCAGCTTCCTTGTGAAAACTCTGCAGGAGAGATGCAAAATTGCAATGCATCTGCCAGAAGTTCAGCTGAAATTCCAATAAGCTTGAGGGAAAGGTCCTTCCTCTTCACTTGGCTTTGACGTGCACTCTGTCCACTATAGCAGTCTGCTGTGCACCATCCTTATGGTTTTGTTTTGTCTGGGGTCAAACCAGTGCTAATATATATGGTCACTGAGGTGACACAGTCTGTACAGGTGCAAGGTGCTTAACATGCCTCCCTTCATCTCCCTCTCTGCAGGTGAGTGTGCTTACAGACCAGGTAGAGGCCCAAGGAGAGAAGATTCGGGATTTGGAGTTCTGTCTGGAGGAGCACAGGGAGAAGCTGAATGCCACGGAGGAGATGCTGCAGCAGGTAGTGCCAAGGAGCACTTCTGTCTTCTGTTCTGTCTTACTGGATTGCATTTTGTCTCAGTGAGAGCAATTTGCTTTGGTTCAAGATGTTTTATCCCTTGAAGTCACTTAGCTAAGTGATAATTCTCTTGCCACTGCATTTGTTTTAAGGTCGTYGACATTGCTTTGCACTACAGGAATCTAGCCCTGCTCTCCCTTAGAGTCTTTCCCCACTGAACTTTGGTGAGGTTTGGATTAAAACCTCTGGCAAAATAGGTGGGTTCTCCTCAGAGCTCCTGGCTGCCCAGAGCAACTGTGATGACAGACAGGTTATTTTCTAGTCTTGGCAGCCCACCAGCAATAGTGCCCCCACAATTTCAGATGCATTCTGGATGCCCTGAGTCTGTCAGATGGGCTTAGTACCGTGTCCCCAGGCTCTATKCCCTGGAAAGACAAGTTTGATGGTTTGCTTCATCAAAGAGGCCTCTCACTGTAGAAATGTAGTGTCTGTTTCTGTGTATGTATCTTAGTGCAAAGTGTAGAATTCGTTTTCCCTTGGATGGATAATCCTTGTTCTTTTGCTCTATATCTTAAATCAGGAGCTTTTGAGCAGAACGTCTCTTGAAACTCAGAAGCTGGATCTTATGGCAGAGATTTCCAATCTGAAGTTAAAGCTTACTTCTGTAGAGAAGGACAGATTGGACTATGAGGATAGATTCAGGGACACAGAGGTGAGTAAAATTAAAAAAAAGAATCTGTTGCGAGAGCTTTGCAGGGCTTCATATTATCTAAAAATTTCTTGGAATTTAACTTTTTCAGACAAAAGGAGGAATTCATCTTTCAGACATTTATTTTTTAAAGTAAAAACAGCTCCCTTTTTCACAGAATCACAGAATGGTTGAGGTTGGAAGGGACCCTCCTAGAGATCATCTAATCCAAACCCCCTGCTCCAGCAGGGATACCTAGAGCACACGGCACAGGATTGGTTGGTAAATGTTAGTTTTACAAAGAAAAAGATTTCAAAAAGAAATTTTAATTCTCGTCATTAAATTTCAGGAGGACTTAAATCACGAATGTGTTGCACTTCCCTGTGCCAACATGAGATCTGGCTACTAATGAGTGAGGTTGTCTATTTGAGGTAAACTTAAAGCCTGCTGCACGTGACGTACAGCAYGTGGCTTTTGGATTCAGTAAGAGGGAGAAAGAGGTGACTCTGCGTGGTGGCTTTTTGAAGTCTCACTCCAAACCCCAGTCCTAGAAGAGCCCAGGGCTGAGGGGCTTCTCTTCAGRCCCGCTTCAGCCAGGCAGTGTTCAGGGCTTCATTGCAGGAGTGATGTTCCCCCATGTCACACATACCTTGGCGTCTGCCTGGGGAGCAAAGCACATTTTCCAATTCCAACCTCAGTGATGAGCTGAAATGTCTGAGGTTCAGACCGTGCATGCTCCAGATGTTGTTCATTTCTGTAAGGGAAGAAACCATAATGTCATCACAGTGGGCAACTCTTGCATTACTCCTTTTAATCACTTCACTTTTAACCATTTTTAAATTTCTTTACTTTTTTTTTTCTATATATTTTCCATCAAAGTGTCATACCTGCACTTGTATTGCAAATGGAAATGGAAAAAGTTAGGTTTGCTTCTTATATTGGTGTCTGTTTCAAGCGATCCACAGACCCAAGGAGATCCACTGGTTGAAAACTGGTGACTTGAAGTTCCATCTGCATGTGAGGAAGAGCTTCTTTCCTGTGAGGGTGCCAGAGCCCTGGGAGGCTGTGGAGTCTCCTTCTCTGGAGATCTTCCAAACCCGCCTGGATGCCGCCYTGTGCCCCGTGCTCTGGGTGTCCCTGCTGGAGAAGGGGGGTTGGACTGGATGATCTCCGGAGGTCCCTTCCAACTTCAGCCAGTCTGTGCTGTGATGCCGTGATTCTGTGTATGAATCATGTTCTGATTTGCAAAATGATGACACAGCGATGGTAGCACCTTTTTAAAAATGTTGAATATCTGGCTACCATGAAGCCATAGGCAGCATTTACATAGAGTTCTTTTCCTCTAATTTCTGCAAGTTTTGGTATAAAAAATAACAGAATTACTCTAAAAGCATCTGACTTTGCAGTCCAGGCAAGTGCTGTGCATAGCAGTGCTGAAGAAATTGGCAGAGGGAACTATGGAAGGAATTCCTGTTTTTTTTTTTTTTTTTCCTTTTTGGTTTCTGAGGAAGTCTGTTAAGAATTGGCTGCTTTCTGAACTCCCATGAGGTCTAATTGCCCACATAAAACTTAGCTTTTCACACATTCTCATGTACAGCAGATAAATCTCTTCAACTCTATACTGACACCCATCGTAAGCAGTCTGGATGATGGATATATGAATTGAAGCCAGCAATAAATGACATTGAGGGGATGCAAGATTTGGTCCAAATGACTGCAGTGAACTGCTGCTTCCAGTAATTAAACTATTAGATAATTGTCATATGCCAGAACTAATGGACTATTACTAAAATCTGTTCCTTCCTCTCTTTAAAAACCAAAATAGTGCAGTTTAGTGCCATACAAGTGGTTATGTTGCTACTTCTGTGTTTCAATGCTTTTGAGCTGCAGAAGTCTCAATTTCCATTTTGTCCAGTGGAATCAGCTGCAAGGCTCTCCCCCGTGTGATCCTGTGTATGAAACCTGTGACCAGCACTCTGCAGGTAGCACTTGTTCAGGGGCTGCCTACAGAATTATGGTTGAGGTTTAGTCCTGCTTACCACCCAGTTTTGCTCAGCTGCCTAAGTAAGTTCCTCCTGTGCACCACTCTTTCTGTGAACATAGGCCTCAGTGGTAAGCTTGGTAAGCTCTTTTTCTTTAGTGCTTCAAGACTTTCCYGTCTGGATGCTTGCAAATACACAGCCTTTTCAGAGCATAATTAATTGGGATTCCCAGCTGATCCGTTCTTCAGATCCTTCCAGTCTTGCTGCTTTCCCAGCAGACAACGCGCAAGGACCGCGGGTGGTCGGAGTCGGGCTGAGTTTATGTAAGAAAATACTGTGCTGGGGAGTTTGTTTAGGGAGGAGTCCATAACCAGACATGGTCTTTGAAACAGCAGCCAGAGGTTACACTGGCTCRCTCAGGGGGAATTCTTTGTAATTTAAACACCACCAGGCTCCTTCACACAGATGAATTTCTGAGTGGAGCAAAACCATGAATGTAATTTGTGCTTCCAGTGCCAGGAAGGATCCCCTCCTCCCCTGCCTAAAGTTATCATTGTGTGATGAGTGTTATAAATGTGTTAATATATAAGCAGCAAAAGGCTTTGGGCCAGTGGAAAGAGGAGCTGTTGAGTGCCTTTGAGGAGAGACCTGAGTCAGGCTCAGAAGAGTTCAGTTTAATGGTGCTTTCTTGTTCTGCAGGTTCTTAGCACAGGGCGTTAAGGCCAGGGTAGATGTTTTAACCCATTCACGGTGTCTGAAGAGGAAGTACTAAGCTCAGTACTAAACCCCCTCCATGGGGGCCCACCAAAGTCAGCTAGTGCAGCMAGTGGCTCTTTGGTCTGATCAGAAATCCTTGTGAACCTCCTGAGGCCCTAAGTATCATAGGGACATAAGTACCTCAGGCATGACTTGCTCCTCCAGAGACTTCATTTATGCCATCTCTTTTTTACTAATGAGGATCTCTGTATGAAAGCTGATGAATGTATTCCTCTGCCTTGAGAAACTRAGAATGTCATTTACAGTAATTGTGTTATACATAACTGGAGACACTAGGTAGTATTGCACTAGCAGAAGAGTAATTGAAAGTATTTTGAGGGTGAGACATGCTCCAAGGGCTCTTCTTTAGTTCTGTTTAGTGCTTGAACAAGCTGTACTGTATATTTTGATGACCCACTGTCAATAATAAATGAGACAGTTATCAAGGGGATTCTTAAAACAATAAACAGAATTAATTTTCTGCTCAGCAGCTTCAGCAGTTATTGCTCTGCGGTCGATTTTGACAGTGGATCATGCCAAAGCAAAGAGGATGGCAGCAGGAGAGAAAAGCCCCAAACAAGTCAATGACCACATCAAAACTACCCATTGTCCCAAGGAACACAGATTTGTTAGAGATCTTGGACAACTCTTGTTGGAAAGAAACAGTTTAATTACTATAATGTGGTCTGTATGTTTAGAGTGAGGAGCTTGGTCAAGATCAAACGTTGAAGGATCAGTGAGGAATTGCAAGTGTATCCAAATCAAAAACATTGCACATTAGCAGTAGTAATTATTAATAGCCTTAAAATTTACCTTTTCATTCAATCTTTCTATTTCTGGTAACTGAGCTTGGATGAAATAGACATAGGTAACCTTTTTTTCAGCCACTCCGACACGCATTTATTACTGTAATTGATTTAAAAACAGCGACTGCAATTTCTTGCTTCCTTCATTTGGGTCAGGATGCTAGTCTGCAGCCTCTGGAGAGCTGTTTGTGACTCATTATGGAAATGCGCTTTTTAAAATGATCCACAACTTTCGTAAACGCCTGGCTACTACCATCATAGAAATTCCTTTGCCTGCGTTATGAAAAGATAGAAATTCCTGTCTGCGTTGTCTGTATGCACAGAAGTCATAGGATACCCATTTTATTTGCTTACGTGGGTGTGCTGAAGGGATGTGCTGTCGCAGAGACGTGCTCAGGGGTTGCCCCACAGGAGAGAGGTGGAGGTTTGTAGGCTGCTCGTCTCAGCTGTAAAGCAGTAAGGGATGGGGGCAGCAGGACAGAGACTTGCTGGGGCTGCAGGCCGCTTGATTTTCCAAGTCCCTGTTGTCATTGCCTCTCCAGTTAGGGGAGTTCAGTCCAGCCTTTAGCTGAGGGGACCCTCCTCTAGCAGCGACGTCGCTGTGAAGCCACAAAACTTCTGGATATGGGGGGCCAGTTCCTACTAACAGGAGGGGGGCTTTGTTCAGGTGAAGCAAGGCAAAGACGGCTCTGTCTCCTGAGGCTAAAGCCAATCATGGAGCTCCTTTAATTGCTCGTATCAACAATAATCTGTCCTTAGATTACAGCCAGTTCTGTTATGCGATAATAAAAGGCGGTAGACTTGATGCAACCTTCATGTACATCCTTGTCCACCCAACACTCATACTCACTTCTCTCTCCTTGGTATGATTTGCACTATTCTATACTATGAAGTTCATGCTTTAAAGAGCATGAAGGAGCTTGTTTTTCCCCCAGTGTCTGAGCATTTTTGAGCTATTGCTCAAGAAATACAAATAATACTGCAGTGTCCTCACATGCATCAATCACATGCAACATTAATCCAGAGTTTCCCAAGGAACAGGAAAACATGAAATGGGGCAGGAAGGCAGGTGTTTCCAAGGACYCACACGTACCCTTCAAATGCCAGCCTATATTTCCAGGCTGAGCCAAGAGCTCTTCGAGTCGCTTCCAAAGCAGAGGGAATTCCCAAAGCCTGGCTTCAGGAGCAGTCACTGGGGCCTCTGATGCTCGAGTGCATGTGCTGGTGCCTGACTTTGTGCAGAATTGCAGTGTTGGTCTGCGCAGAGCCCCTCTCCCTGCTCTGGTTTTACTCTCCTGCTGAGGCTTGCCTGGCCAGCTCTCATTCCACCTTGTTTATTAAGTTCTGTCTTTCTGGTCTTGTTCTTCCCTTCACCCAGGATTTGATCCAGGAGATAAATGAGCTGCGATTAAGGGTGGGAGAAATGGACAACGAAAGGCTCCAGTATGAGAAAAAACTCAAAACTACCAAAGTAAGTGAGGCTAAGGGGAAGAAGCAGAGCTGTGGGATTGCAGATTTTGTTCTCTTTTCCCCTGTCCCAGCTATACCCTGCAAAGCCCTGAGCAACCTCAGGCACTCACTTAACAACAACAGCAACAGCAAAACCCAGAAAGGGGGTATTTCCAAATTTCATGTTGTGGTTTTTAGATCTAGACCCCGTTTTTTTCATGAGGAACCAACATCCTTGGTGGTGGCTGTGTCACTATAAATATATGACTGTTTAGATCCCTGTTTCAGTGAACAGTGGTTGCAGTACATAAGGTGTRTGCCATGGGGGAGGCCAAAGCTGAGCATTTATTTTCTCCTAAATGTGCTGAAAATCAGCCACTCTATTCTGGAGGAGTAACATTCACCTAAGGAATTGTAGCATTCTGTTTCTGCAAGTGTTTAACTTCTCTTTGCCTTTTAGCCTGTCTCTTTTCTATCTTTAGTTTCCTCTCACTCCTCTGTCTCTGTTACCAGTCTCTAATGGCCAAACTTTCTAGCATGAAAATCAAAGTGGGTCAGATGCAGTATGAAAAGCAGCGGATGGAGCAAAAATGCCAGATGCTAAAGGTGTAGTAGTTTAATTTGGCCTGTTTTGAATCTTTCCTGTCCCACCGTTTTCCGGTCGGTCGTGCATCTCGCTGCCATTCTGTGTCCTGCATTAAGTGCTGTGCGGTGGTGGTGTGTGGTGCTCCCTTTCTCACTAGGCATAGCAATCTCTTCATCTTACTCCTTCTACATGGCTTTCGTATTGGATGGAAGAGGAGTTTAGTGTTGTGAACTTGGCATTCGTTACTCATAACTGAATTAGACTTTAGGTTAAAGATTTTTCCCCTTCCACTGCCTCTTCTCCAGCTTACATCCTTTTTTAAAAAAAAAAAACTAATTTTTTCTAACCATCATACAGATTTTTTTTTTTTTTCATGAAAACTAACTAGGAAACAACGATTCCTTTACAGGCTCCTCTCTCTCTAAACATGCTTTTAACTCAGAATATACCCGACATGGACAACCTTGTGCAGCTGCAGTTGTCCATGGCTGTGCTGAGAGCTTTTCAAGGGGCTGAGAGAGGGTCTCGTTGTGGAGAAGTCCAGGTCATACCCTGCCAGAAACCTCAGCAAAGCTATTACCAGTTTGGAGGGTGGTGCTATAATGCCTATTGCAGAGCAGCTTTGGTTTCTTGAGGATTTCAAGATTGCACTTTTATTTTTTATATATTTACAGTTGCCTTAGTGCAAAGATGAACTGATTTCAGGAAGCACTGCAGTTTCTAAAAAAGCTAAATGCATGAATTGATGCCAGTATTTTGCTAGTGCAGATGGTTAGAGCTAAGTCAAAATTTGACAGCATTTATCTGATACTCCCCATCTCCCCCAAATGCCTTCTGTGGTCCTCCCACAAATCTCAGCACTGAGTTTCCTTCCCCAGTGTGCGAGCAGCAAGCCTAGATTGTCACCCAAGACCATCAAGCCCATAAACATGCTCAGGTGAAAATCTGGCACCACTGCGACACCTCTCCAGTGCACGTGGAGACTGTGTGTAATCAGTTCTGTGTCTGTTGCAGGATGAACTGGCAGCCTTGAAAGAGAAGCTGGAGCAGAAGGAAGCCGAGGTAAAAAGGTTGCAAGAAAAGTTGGTCTGCAGAATGAAAGGAGAAGGGATTGAGATACTGGACAGAGGTAAGGAGAAGGGAGGCTCTTTCTTAGGCCTGTGCAGGGGCATCATGTAGTTCGCTATCAGCTAATCTGAATCTGATGTTTCTGTGAATTATTATACAGAAAATTTAAAACCACACTTCCCACATACTTTTTGTCTTCATGTCAGCCATAAAATTATATTGTGAGTATTCACAATCCAGCTGCCGAATCCAACCTTAGAGCAGGCTCTGGGTCAGCTTGAAGCTTGTAATCCCTAGTTAGCCCTTTGTATATTTTGCACACCTCAAAAGATGCAGTTTATACTGATTTAAACCAGTTCCCCCCAAAAGATTATACGGAGGGAAGAACTTTCTGTGTGAGTCTCTGAGCTGGGCTTTGCTTAGCTTATACACTCYTCCCTGCTAAGGAAGGGGGAAAAACATATTGCAACCAAAGTGAGATTGGTACTAGCAAGTCTTCAGCATTGCCCAGCACAAAATGTGTGAAATTGAGGATTGGGTCTTCTTTGTTCATGAGAGGAGGCTTAATC